AAAGAATCACTTTCCCCTTCCCACCATCCTTATTATACATGCACAGGACTTCTACATCCCCTCTCCCCTGCCCCCGCATCTCCCATTAAAACACCACTTCTGTGCCAGTCAGAATAGATATGCCATTTTCAGAGAGAAACTGGAAGAAGAAAAGAAAAGTTTGTCTCAACTTTTTGGAGATTGCCCTCAGCTTTTCACTGTAATTCACACTAAAAAAGCTTTGTAAATTGACCTTCATTCTGCATAATTACCAGGAGGGGTGTATTTTAAATCAGAAAGAGATTCACAGCTGAATGAACAGGAAGAATATTTCTTGGTGTATGTATGTATTTATTCAGCTAACTGATGTCAATATAGACTCATAGACTTTAAGGTCAGAAGGGACCATTATGGTCATCTAGTCTGACCTCCCGCATGATGCAGGCCACAAAAGCTGACCCACCCACTTTCCCTTAACTCAGCTGTTGAAGTCTCCAGATCGTGATTTAAAGACTTCAAGTCGCAGAGAATCCTCCAGCTTGCGACCCCTGCCCCATGCTGCGGAGGAAGGCGAAAAACCTCCAGGGCCTCTGCCAATCTACCCTGGAGGAAAATTCCTTCCCGACCCCAAATATGGCGGTCAGTAGAACCCCGAGCATACAGGCAAGATTCTCCAGCCGGACCCTCATTTTACCAGCGATGGCACGTTATTGCCTAATTGACTAAAATCACGTTATCCCATCAAACCATTCCCTCCATAAACTTATCTCGCCTAATCTTGAAGCCAGAGAGGTCTTTTGCCCCCACCGTTTCCCTCGGAAGGCTGTTCTAAAATTTCACCCCTCTGATGGTTAGAAACCTTCGTCTAATTTCAAGCCTAAACTTCCCCACGGCCAGTTTATATCCATTTGTTCTCGTGTCCACATTAGTACTGAGCTGAAATAATTCCTCTCCCTCCCTGGTATTTATCCCTCTGATATATTTAAATAGAGCAATCATATCTCCCCTCAGCCTTCTTTTGGCTAGGCTAAACAAACCAAGCTCCTCGAGTCTCCTTTCATATGAAAGGTTTTCCATTCCTCGGATCATCCTAGTGGCCCTTCTCTGTACCCGTTCCAGTTTGAGTTCATCCTTTTTAAACATAGGAGACCAGAACTGCACACAGTACTCCAAATGAGGTCTCACCAGCGCCTTGTATAACGGAAGCAGCACCTCCTTGTCCCTACTAGAAATACCTCGCCTAATGCATCCCAAGATCGCATTAGCTTTTTCCACAGCCACGTCACATTGCCGACTCATAGTCATCCTGCGGTCAATCAGGACTCCGAGGTCCTTCTCCTCCTCCTCCGTTACTTCCAACAGATGCGTCCCCAGCTTATAACTAAAATTCTTGTTAGTCATCCCTAAATGCATCACCTTACACTTCTCACTATTAAATTTCATTCTGTTACTATTACTCCAATTTACAAGGTCATCCAAGTCTCCCTGCAGGATATCCCGATCCTTCTCCGAATTGGCAATACCTCCCAACTTTGTGTCATCCGCAAACTTTATCAGCCCACTCCTACATTCTGTTCCGAGGTCAGTAATAAATAGATTAAATAAAATCGGACCCAAAACTGAACCTTGAGGAACCCCACTGGTGACCTCCCTCCAACCTGACAGTTCACCTTTCAGTACTACCCGCTGCAGTCTCCCCTTTAACCAGTTCTTTATCCACCTCTGGATTTTCATATCGATCCCCATCTTTTCTAATTTAACCAATAATTCCTCATGCGGTACAGTATCAAACGCTTTACTAAAATCGAGGTATATTAGATCCACCGCATTTCCTTTATCTAGAAAGTCTGTTACTTTCTCAAAGAAGGAGATCAGGTTGGTTTGGCACGATCTGCCTTTTGTAAACCCATGTTGTAATTTGTCCCAATTGCCATTCACCTCAAGGTCCTTAACTACTTTCTCCTTCAAAATTTTTTCCAAGACCTTGCATACTACAGATGTTAAACTAACAGGCCTGTAGTTACCCGGGTCACTTTTTTTCCCTTTCTTGAAAATAGGAACCACATTAGCTATTTTCCAGTCCAACGGTACCACTCCCGAGTTTACAGATTCATTAAAAATTATCGCTAAGGGGCTTGCAATTTCTTGCGCCAGTTCCTTCAATATTCTAGGATGAAGATCATCCGGTCCGCCCGATTTAGTCCCGTTTAGCTGTTCAAGTTTGGCTTGCACCTCTGATACGGTAATGTCAACCCCCGATCCTTTGTTCCCTTCTGTCCTGCTGCCTCTATTCCTAAGCCCTCCATTAGCCTTATTAAAGACCGATGCAAAATATTCATTTAGATATTGTGCCATGCCTAGATTATCCTTAATCTCCACTCCATCTACATTCTTCAGCGGTCCCACTTCCTCTTTCTTTGTTTTCTTCCTATTTATATGGCTATAAAACCTCTTACTATTGGTTTTAATTCCCCTCGCAAGGTCCAACTCTACACGGCTTTTGGCCTTTCTCACTGCATCTCTACATGCTTGGACCTCAATAAGGTAGGTTTCCTTGCTGATCCCTCCCCTCTTCCATTCTTTGTATGCTGTTTTTTCTTAATCGCCCCTTTGAGACGCTCGCTCATCCAACTAGGTCTAAATCTCCTGCCTACTAACCGTTTTCCCTTTCTCGGGATACAGGCCTCGGACAGCTCGTGCAACTTCAACTTGAAATAATCCCAGGCGCCATCTGCCTCTAGATCCCTAAGTATGTTAGCCCAATCCACTTCCCTAAGTAGTTGCCTTAATTCATTAAAGTTGGCTTTTTTGAAATTGTAAACCTTAGTCACAGTTTTAATTCTGTTAATCCTTCCATTTAGTTTAAACTGAATTAGCTCATGGTCACTCGAGCCAAGGTTGTCCCCTACAACCATTTCCTCAACGAGGTCCTCATTATTCACCAGCACCAAATCTAAAATGGCATCCCCCCTTGTCGGTTCAGTTACTACTTGATGAAGGAATTCATCTGCTAGCATGTCTAGGAACATCTGAGCCCTATTATTGTTACTAGCATTTGTTCCCCAATCTATATCTGGGAAGTTAAAGTCCCCCATGATTACACAGTTCTTATTAGTTTTTACTTCCCTAAAAACATTAAATAGTTCTCTGTCCGCATCCAGGCTAGATCCTGGCGGTCTATAGCACACCCCAAGCACTATCCCAGGGGAGGCTCTAGTAGTTCTTTTATCCAGTGTAATTATTGCCAGACAGACTCCATCTTATCCATTCCATCAGTTATTATTTCTTCACAGTTTACCTCATTAGTGACATACAATGCCACTCCCGCACCTTTACCTTTGTTCCGGTCATTCCTAAACAGCACATACCCTTCCATACCTGTACTCCAGTCATGACTACCGTTCCACCACGTTTCGGTTATTCCTATGATATCCGGTTTCATTTCTTGGACCAGGAGCTCCAATTCCTCCATTTTGTTACCTAGGCTTCTTGCATTGGTGTATAAATATCTTACTGTATGCTGTTTATCCTTTCTCCCATTAGTTATGCAATTTGGTATGGACCCCGTACTGTCCATCCGCCCCCTCCTTCTTATGTCCAATCCCTTACCCCTACCTATATCTGTGCTTATCTCTTCACCCTCCTTTTCAGTGTTGGAATCTGGCGTGAAGATTAACTGGACATCTCCCAACCGTCTCCCCCAAAAATATAATACAATTCTTTTTTAAAAAGTATCAGGAAAATACAGGAAAATTTTCTATATATTTGGTTTGGTCTTAAATAGTATATTAACCTTTCCAGAAGGTCTAAAGGTGGAATGCCCTTATGAAAAATACTAATTACAGTCCTGTTCCCATGCGCTTTTGTGGGCAGTATCCCATGCTATTAGTGATTCTAAAATAACATAATATTGTTCATGAAGGCCCTAACTGATGGAGTGATTTGCTTTCATTAATTTGTTGAATTAATAATTCACTAAAATGTATGCACAATCTCAGTATAAATCTTTGGCATAACTGTGCATGGAAACAATGAACAAAAAAAGAAAAACAACTTTCTCTGAAGTAAGTTTATGGAACTACAAATACCCTCAAATTTATGCCCAATCCTGCTCACTAGGAAGGGGATCGGGATCACTATGAACGAAATTCCAAATGCAGGATAACATGAAGTAAAGATAACAACAGAGGCTTTTACAGCCAGCGTTTTAGTGACCGAGTTATGCATAGCATTAGCTAGACTTGTTGAGCCATTAGAAACTCGAGACTGAAATAGCAAGTTCTCTCCATGAAAACTTGCACTTAAAACTTTAGTGCCATATTAGCACTTCAAAATAATTACATAATCTCATACCGCGCAAATTTAGTTCCCTTTCCAGTCTATGCAGCTGGCGTGTAGAAGCAAGTCTGATTAGGGGGAGCCGCCAAAATCAACCTGTAGGATAAGAGCTCGCAGCAGCGAATTTGGGCTATCACAGTTTATCGGCAACAGTTTTCTTGGCAAAAAGAGAGTCCCAAATTCCGAGCGCGGGATAGGGACACTAAAAGCCTCTCAATTCCACACATAACACATTCGATTCACCATGCTACCTCCCCCCGTCCTCACCCCAAACTTACAATTAAAGGGATGTGGTAAGAAACGGAAGGGATTCTTGGAAGTTTTCAGGACCCAGTTCCTACATCCAGGCAAACTTCGGAAAAAGTTGGTGCGGGGTGGGGAGGAGGGAGACAGATCTCCCCAGAGTAGAGTCTCAAAGTCGATGCAGCAACACACCGGTTTCAATTAACCAACTCAGTTCCCACTGATTCCGAAGTTCTAGTAGCAAGAAGAACGCCCTGGTGCGAGAGAGGGTCCGGATACTTTTTTTTCCAGCCTTGATAAGGGGCCCTATTACCCTGGCTGCAATTAGTTACCACCACGCATGGCAGCATTAACATCCGGATTTCAATCATTCCTTTGCACTCCTATTAATCTGCAGCCTGCTACAAACGAGGTGCCCGAGACTTTAAACAACCTGGCTGGGCTGGGAGCACGGAGGGCACCCAAGGCTAGGGAATCTGTTAAATTAGAGCTTGCCCTTTCTACTAAAAGTGTTGCCCGGGATTTTAAGGGGCGAAATATGCACAGATCGGAGTAAGGACACGCATCACTTGCACACGCGGATCAATATCCCTCCAACACGTTAAACTGACTCACGAGCCGGTAGGTAAGTTTCTAAGTCAGTTTCAGGGGGGTTCAACTTTTCCCAACAACATTACTCCCCCCCCCCCCCAAGCACCCCCCCCCCACAAAAAACACCCCAACCCCCCCCCCCCCCCCCCCCGCGCGCACACGCATACTTTACCTGCTTTTGTGCCGGGTCTTTAATAGATTCCTTCCAAAGGGAGCCATAGCCACTCCAGCGGCTGAACCACCACATCAACGCGTCCAAACCCAAGGCTGGGGTGTTCTTTCCTCCCCCTCTTTCCCCTCACCTCCTTCAGCTTGTTAGTAGTCACCCAGCGTAGCGATGAGCTGGAAGTTGTGCAATTTGCTAACTCTGAACTACTGGTTTGTTGTTGCTGCTGCACCTTTGGAGTCCTGCCCAGCTGCAATCTTCAAGGAGGCGTTTATGAGCAGGAAAAAGGAAAAAAAAAAAAAAAAACCACTTTCTATTGTGATGTGAAGTTATTTGCAGAACTTGCTAAACTTTCAGCCTTGCCAGCCGCCAAGGCACCGATCAACAAAGGGAAAAAGGGGATTTGACTCCAGGAGGGAGCTAGGCAAGAACACACAACAGAAGGATTCAAACTTTCTCCGCCAAGTTCCAGCCACTTAAAGTCAAGTCGAGCAGCTAAACACAAGCCTTAATGAAGGGCAGACAACAGTTGTTCCACCAGTTCTAGTGCATAACAATAACCTTCCTTACAGATTAAACTATAGCTGCTTCTCATTACAGGGTGTAGCAACAGTCGAAGTGACAAAGTAAGTCACAGCTACTACCTCTCTGGCCCCTCTACTTTTAGGTAAACATTTGATACTTTGCTAGGTGCATATAAACCTTTAGAGAGTTTAGTCTGCAAACCTCACTCAGCAGCCACCTGTGGCTTCATAACACTTCCCAAGAGGGCCTGATTTTCAAAAGTGCTGAGAACCCCCAATTCTAGCTGAAGCCACTGAGAACTGTAGGTCCTCAGCACCTTTGAAAATCGGGCCATAAAATGGGGCTGTTAGGAAGGGAGAGTGGCTAGAAGAATAGAAAGGGACAATGCAATACCTCATTGCACACTCCAACATGGTATATTTTTTTTGGCTGGCTTTGTTAAAGGAGAAGTGAGCATGTGTTAAAGTTGTTGTTTGCTCCAAAATCCGGGGCACTAATGCATAAAGAGGATTAGTAATAAAGCTTTTGAAAGGGAAAACATGGGTCCCATTAACTTCAATGGGCTTTGGCTGGGAATTACAGTGCAGAAAGGCAGACCCATTAAAGCAGAAAGGCATATAAATAGGGAACTGATGGTGGAGGGTACTGGGGGCAGGGGAGAATGAACCTTTGCCCTGTAGCTTGTACAGTTATTTGCACCATTACAGAGTAGGTGTAAAATGTTTCTATTGTGAGTTCATTGCATTTTACACTCACTTTATACCACTGCAAATGGCTATACCAAACTGTAGGTGTAATGGTTAATCAGGCATCCTGAATTTAGCCTTGTCCCACCTCTGCTGGTGTTTGTATTAAACAAGAGGAGTAACAGGTTGAGTGATGGGTTTATCTAGAAGGGGCTTTGTCGTTTTTGACATTGGAATAAAATACCCCCTTTCCCTAAGCAGAGATGGTCACATCAGCCTGCAATTAAACAAAGCTAGAGCCCATTCCATGGGTTACTTATTACTGGCAGCCCTGGGAATGCCCCACATACTTTCAGTTCAATCCCATGTCTGTAAACTCCCTGAGCTGTGACTACAAAGAGAGGAACTGGAGTCACAGCTTGTTTGGGTGGGTTAAATTAACACACACACACAAATCTCTCAGATTCCTGAGGCTGCTGCCAAGGGAGGTTTCATGAAGCAGGATCTGCTTTGGGTATTATATGCCTGATCCAAAACCCACTGAAATCAATGGGAGTCTTTTTGGGTCAGGGTTTATATGCTGTAGGTGGGGATTTCCTCACCTTTAAATGGTGGCAAATATCTTCCAAACCCCCTGAGATGTTTGCAAGACAGTCTTGGCACAGAATTGCTATTCCGCTGCTGAGAATTTCTCAGAGTAAAATAGGTATTAAAATAAAGGGATTTTTCCTTCCCTCTCCCTTGTTGGCAAAGGTAACATTAAATAGCTTTATCTGCTGCATATTACAATGTGAACCATCCTAATATTGCTCACTTACTTTTCTCCTCATTACAAAGATAAATGGGAATTGGACAACATCTACAGCTGTTCTTACACTTCCAAATTAATCAGCTATCACCTCACAGTATTAATTGATTGTAACTATTAAAGTACGGTGTGATGTAGTGGCCTACTTGTTCCTTTATTTACCTGCAATTGCCAGATAAACTTAATCATATGGATGGGCCTCAGGAAACTTAATGCTTAATCAAAAAGCAGATTTAAAAATAAATCTTCAGGGTAAATTTTATATACACACACTTCATTGTGCAAACCTCTAAAGTTTCCATTTTCATTTTAATGGCATGAATTTTAGGAAAGACTCCTGCAATAACAACTGTACATTTCTATCCAAGTTTGAAATAACATACTTACCCTTTGCACTCTTTCTGAAATGAGACTGAAAATATCTGTATAGTTTACTTTAGAGAGGAGTCAAGTAAGAGGGGTCATGATAGGTATACAAAGTACCAAATGAGATGGGAGTTTCAATAGACTTTCTAAAATGCAAGAAGAGGAAACATACAATGAAACTGAAAGGAAACAAATTTCAAAGTGATAAAAAGAAATAGTTTTTTCACACAATGTACAATTAACCCATGGAACTCATTGTCACAAGATATCACTAAAGACAAAAAACTTAGCAGGATTTTATTTATATATATATATATATATATATAAATAGACCTTTATATCAACAAAATAATACCTATCAGGGGTTCTCACAAGGAATTTTTTGGTGGCCTCAGAGTACAGCCACCAACTCTTGCTGGTGGCCACTCCGACAGTTTTTCTTAAAATACTTAATTAACTTTAGGAAAAACAAATAAATATGCACATATACATGTCCAAATCATTGTAATTTATTTATGTAGGGTTTTTTTGCAGACTCAGTAATAAAAATAGTGTACTGGTGTCTCTATTCTTTACTGGACCTAAACAGAATAGAAACACAAAAGGTACATTGTATGTTTTGCTTTTTTTGTTGTTATTTTTTTTTAGACTTGGTAGCTGCTGTGAAAGGTGATATTTGTACATATTACGTTTCACAGCAAGCTGGGGGACAAATAAAACTCTGGATGGGGAGGTGGGTTAGGAGTCAGGAGACCCAGGGCTTAAAGGGAACTGGAGGAGGCAGTGGTGGTCCGGTGATGGGGGAAGGTGGGAGTGAGGAGCTGGAGCCTGGGGTCCGGCTGTACAGCTGGGGGCTGGAGGAGGCAGCAGGGGCCAGGGGCAGCATGGGGAGAGGTGATCCTGGGGCTGGAGTCTGAAGCCCTGCTCCCAGTGGGCCAGGGACGTGCTGGCCAACGCTTCCCCGGAGCTCCCATTGGCTGGGAATGGCATACCGCGGCCACTGGGAGCTGCGGGCAGCTGTGCCTGAAGATGGTCAATGTAAACAAACTGTCTCACAGCCCGTCAGTGGATTACCCTGATGGGCCACGTGCGGCCCACAGGTTGCCCACCACTGGCTTAGGACATTAAAGAAAAAAAAATTCAAAAGCACCCACATCACTTAGGAGCCTCTCATGGAATGTTAATGGAACTTAGGCCTGCTCTACATTACAAACATACATGGGTATAACTATGTTGCTCAGAGTGTGAAAAATCCACACCCGTGAGCAACGGAGTTATCCCAACCTAAACCTCAGTGTAGACAGTGCTATGCCGATGGAAGAGCTTCTCCCTTTGACATAGCTACCAACTCTAGCAGAGGTGGATTAAATTACACCTATGGAAGAAGCTCCCCTGTTGGTTTAGTGGTGTCTTCATTGAAGCACTATAGCAGCACAGCTGCACCACTGCAGTGTTTTAAGTGCAGACCTGCCCTTAGTTTTAGGGTATATTTTCAAAAGTGTCTAAGTCACCAGAGCCTAACTAGACTAGACAAATCACTAGAAAATATGCTGCAGGGATCAATCCTTCACTGACAAGAAGATGAACTAGATATGACCTATTCAGTCTTGTCAATCTCTAATTTCTGTGTCTGAGTTGTATGTGGTGCTACATAATTTGCTTTATGCTCTTCTTAGGGCCAGCTGTTCCATATGAGAAATCCACTTGCCAGGTATTATGAGAGACAGAAATGCCCTTGGCTGTGCTGTTATCAACTGACCTCGAAACTTTTAGAACAGTAGAGTCAAAACACTACTGTCTGTTTCACTGCATTGGAGGTCAGATTTTCTAACTTATTTACAGTCATTCACTTGTATTTTAAGGCCCTGATCCTTCACTCCTTGCTCAGGCAACACCCCTATTAGCTTCAATGAAAAGGATGCATGAATACACTCTGCATATGAATTTATTTCTGTCCAGGTATTATATCATATGGAGATTCCTGTTGAGGAAGCTCTTTTAATTTTATGTAAAGTGAAGTGAAAGAAGGATATAGTAACTGTTTCAATGTAGGATTGTCTTGCTTTGTGCATATAAAGAGGCTAAGGATTTAATGTATTTTATGATGCATTAATTTCCTCTTTATAAAGAAATTCTGTTTGTGAGATGGTACTGATCAAGTGGAAGGCTACGCACAACCCTGAAATCAGTAGAGTCATATGGAATTTAAATTGAATAGTTACAATTATAACACAACGGAAATATGAGCCTCTGCCTGAGATACTTTTAGGTGCACTTCACTACACTGAATTTTAATACATTGTCGGTTCAGGCCTCATCTTACTACAGAAGTGTCTTGATGCAATCAACAGCTACAACTCAGCCCTAATTGTTTAATTCAACAGTTCACTTTATAAAGCTTTTCTAATTTGTGGAGGTAATTGTCCATTTCCTCAAGATGCATCGAAAATCTTATGCAACTTTCATCTGGTCTATAGCTGATCTAATAGGACAAAACCATGTAAATATTTTCACAAGTAAGTAAGACAAATGTCAATCATTCTGCTTAGTGCAGGATTAGAAGGAGCTCAGATATTACAGTGATTACTCGATATTATCCAATTTGCTGTTATTCATTGGGTCATATTATTCATTCAATAGAACTAGTTGAAAAGATTTTAAAAAGTTGTTATTTTCTCTTTCAGCTAAAAAAAATGTAGTGGCAGCAGAAATTATTGATCAAATCATTAGAAAGCATGTGGACAGCCACCAGTTTATTTAGGAAAATGTTTACAAATCACATCATCTTCACAGATTTGGCAAGAATAATGTATTGTCTAAAAATTGGTACTAGAGGTGAATTTAAAATATAACAAAAAAGAAAACTTATATCTTAGTCAGGAGTAGAAAATGCTATATAAATTAGATGACTAATCACCTACCATGAATACTGAAAGTTAATAGTGTGTGAACACTTGTTCACAGAAGCTATTTAGTGAATACTTATAAATAACAAAGAGACAAGGTGAGTGATGTAATCTTTTATTGGACCAGTTTCTTTTGGCGAGAAAGACAAGCTTTCGAGCTTACAGAGAGCTCTTCTTCTTCTCACTCACCAACAGAAGTTGGTCCAATAAAAGCTATTACCTCACCCACCTT